AGATTTTTAACAGTAAGGAATTGACAAGTTAATGTGCCAATATTAACAACGATGCAAGAAATAACTACTCACTTTATACATGTTATTTTAAAATAATTAACTTATTCAAAATAAAACCATTTTAAATTATAATATGCAACTTAAAGTGCATAATATATTGCATACATTTTCTAAAATTAAATCTTTAAATGAAACTCTATAGTTCAAATTAATATACTTAAATTCCAGAAAACAACTCAGGACGTCTACAATAACAAGTGAAGGTGCATACATCAACAAGTCATTTAGCAGACTTTTAGCATCACAAAAATGACAAACAAATGTGTAATTATTAACAATTGTTGCAATGTATATTAATAACTAATTAATATTAATGTGCGCCTCATACTTGTTATCAACAATTAAACCAGCTATCTAATTAATATTGATGTATGCCACATACTTGTTATCAACAATTAAACTAGCTATATTGATAACTATCACGATATGTATTAACCAGTGAAGATATTAGTAGGAGTAATGAAGTCTATTTACATTTTCATTAAATTACAGTCTCTTATACTCAGGCTTTTTTAGGACTTTCAAGTAATTTGCAACTCTTATGGGACTTTTTGTTGTATTTTTTGTTCCTTGTGACCTTAGTGCCATTTTTCCAATCTCAATCTCTTATACATTTTTCTCATTTTCATAACATTTATTTCCTTGCAAAAATTTATAAATTAAAAATTAGGAAAACCATTTTGAAGTTACCTGTACTTCTTTTCAATTTTCAATCTGGTACCTAAATGTTTTTCTCTTAATTAAATCTTTAATTTTTTTGACCAAAAAATAATTTAATTTTGCTCTTTTAAGTCATTAACTCTTGTTTAGAAAAAGCTAATAAAATAAAGTCACAAGAGTTAATGTTGCTTAAAAAGTAAAATTAAATAATTTAATTAAAAAAATACATAGATATCAAATTAAAAATTGAGAGAAAGTATGGGTATGGTATTCTTGAAAATTTTATGAACTGGCGGTTCACATACCATCATGCACCCAAACCGTCGAGATGCATGAGATCTCTTCCTATTTGCCCTAGCCCCTTTTGACTTCATCATCGAGCTTCCCTTTAGGCCATCGAGCCTGACACACCCCAGAAAGTCACTGTTCACCATCAACGTCCTCTCTTTTCGCCATTCTCAACCTGTTCGATGCCAAGCCACCATTCTCCAAGCCATGGTGCTATTTCTAATTCTCCATTGGCCATTTCGTGCCCTCTGTACAATGTGACCGTTTCTGTTCTATTCTGATATCCATTACTCACGTCCCCTACCAACATTCTTCTTGTACCTTGAGACTCATGAGCTAGTCTGTGTTTAGCGCTTCTCATGTTCTTCACCTCTCACTACTTTCTATTAATTTTTGTTATCATAGTTTATGTCTTTGATATTGACTTGGAAGCTAAACTAGTGATAATTATATTTCACGATTTTAATTTTCTAACTCAGGCAAAGGTTTCACCTTTTATAGCTCACGATGTAGATGTGATTACATCTCTCCTTGAATTCCTTGCTTTTAAGTCGTTAAAGCCAGACCTTTTCAATTATTTTCCCCTTAGAGGTGAAAATGCTTGCTTTGATCTCTTTTTTTTAGAAGTTTTGTCTCTGAATTTATGTTTGCATATTTGAGGATTGTGGATTAGAAATTCGCACTATGCCTTTGCGCTTTCAATTCAAGCTCTGGTTCTCCCGCCAATCTCTTATTTTTTGAACTTGCCTACTGAATGTTGAGGCTTAATTTGGTTATGGGTTAATCTATAGTTTTATTTACGTCATATGGCAATATGATCGCTAATTGGCAATGGGATAGCCTCTTGGCAATCTAGATTTGTAGTTTTTATAATGTAGAAGATTTCCTCAGCTATTTGTGGTTAGTTGGTATTAAGGTTTGGTTCTATATTTGTGAAAAACAAATATGGAGTTTGTTAGCTTCTCGTAGTTATATTACTTGAGATATTTAATTATAAGTTGTTGGCAAATACACGTTGTAGTATCACTTAAGTATGCTTTTATCAATTTCGCTTAGTTCCTTGATTGATCATTTTTTTCCCCTTCAAAACATGTTAAATTTTGCCACTATTCACTATATATGCAATTTATGTAGAGATTTTATTTGGGTTCTTGTGGGGATATAACAGTATAATATTGTAATTATTATTTTATTTACTACTTGTAACTAGATATGCAATCTAGACACAAATTTGGGGATTACTAGGTAGACGGACTAGACACAAATTTTGGATTTCACATGTGAAGTCTTCATCACTTAGAAAGATGATGTGTTGCAACCAAAAGCTAAGTAACAAAACAAATGGACTTTAACAACTTCAAAGCATTTCTAGTGATCTCTATTGACAAATTCATACACGAAAGCTGTGAGTAATTATTTTTATTTTTGATGTGTTATTTTTTGAAAAAGATTTAAGTTGTAGGTATCATATGAAGCATTTCCTTGTAATAGTTAATACCCAATATTCCTTCAGATATAGATGTGATGAAGAGTTGGAATTTATGGAAAATGACCATTATATTGAGATGTGAGCAATTTTGGGCCCATCTGCTCCTTTTGCTCTCTTGCATCTTTCCTCTAAATGTGGAACTCCAATCAATTGTAGTCTTTGTAAATTAGTGAGATGATGCATTCCCTTTCAAAGTGACCCTAACTATAGTTATTGGGTAAAGAAATCAAAGTGATTGGAGAAAATGTGTGATTTTTAGAAGAGAATGTAGGCATTAAAGATCCTAGAACTATATCTTATAATCCTTAAAACTACCCCATGGATCAAGGTTGTCTATAGAACAAATAATGAATTCTTCAGGTGTAGTAGATAGATGTTGCATGACAAAATAGTTTCATAGGACTTAATAAGCTTGAAACGATAAGATGTTGAAAAGTAGTGAGATTTTAAATCCATTTATTTGTTAATGCTTCTTCTATGTCTATCTTTGTAATGGATAGAGACTTTATAGAATGGGTAGTTGATGAGAAAGATCCTTTATAGAACAATGCATCTATATATTTCAAAGAGTCTTGAGAGAATCAAGTGGACAAGAATTGACAATTTCTATAAGTAAGATGCAATACAGCATTTGTAAATGGCAAAAGCCAGACTGAATGCCTTACCCTTTAAGAAATTTTGTATTCTCAATTACTTCAAATTTGGATTGGGGCAAAGGTTATCTAATAATTGCAAAGTATCACTATATTTCACCTCTATATCTTTCCCCAATCAAGTGTTGAGGACATGAGGTTTATCTTTGCTTTCAAATTAACATCCTTGCACTCCTCAACATCTATTGTTGAACCAAGTTTCTTATTGGCCACTCCACATCTAAGGTTAAATTCATTGTCAATTTAACTTTCTTCTCTTTTCATCATCATCTCCCACTATGAATTTTGACAAATTTTGTAGAGTTTTTGTTCCAACTTTAAAGGCCTTACAATCATATTTATGAAAATGGTGCAAGGTTATGAACTTTGTAACAATATCAATGGAAAATTTAGGATTGTCACACCAATTCAATTTCAATATTCACAATTTAACTAAGTTGTCTGTACTTTTGGATAAACTAGTCAAATGAGAACCACAAAAGAGATCAAGATGCCTTACATTTTATGATATGATATTGTAATAAATAAAAGTAATTAGTTATCACACAAAAAAAAAGTTACTTAAGGGTTAGTTGGGGTGGCTACAAGGGATGACCATTTAGCAGCCAATGACTATAAATAGATGGATTAGTGATTAATTGTAATAGGCTTTTGGTTAAGAGAAATCTGATTCCCTTTTTCTCCTATCTCTCTCTCTCTCACACATAGCCCTTTATATCTCTCCATCTCTCTTCTCTATCTTTCTCTCTTTCTTACCTTCCTCTCCCAGTCAAATCACAACTTACTAAGGCAGTATTAGAGCAAGCAGTCACTAATATCATGGATATCAATCAACTTCAAAGTATAGCAATGGAGCTTGAAAAGATGACTGACGTTCTAAAAGAAACTCTACTATTAATGAGAAAAGATGTGACTGAGTTATGAGAAATGTTATTGAAGGAAAAGTTTATGTATTACTTGGAATGATTCGAGACTCGTATTACTTGAGTTAGTACTTTTTTAGATATTTCTGATTGCTTTAAAGCACAAGCATTTTATTATAAGTATTGGTATTCAATGCTTGTGGGTAAGTTATGTGTGTTTATTCGGGAAAGAAGGAAGGATTTGTATGTTAGAAATTATGTCAATACAATAAGAATTTTGCATCCCAATAAATTTCTGGTTATAGGCAATGTTTGACAGGTTATATTGCATTTGGACTTGAAATCTTGATAGAATTTGGTTGGATGGAGGAGCTGACTTTGGCCATTTTGAGCCATCTTTCTAATATCCAGGGTATGGCTCTAATTTCCGGACTGAGTTTTTTGTAGCTTGAATTAGGAATGCACCCTAGTCAGCGTTGTTAAATTAGGAACGGTTAGCATTGGAATTTAGGTATAATTTTGTGTGTTAGTAGAGCAAAGTTATTGGCTTCAAGGTTGCTTCTGGTAAAGTAAGGTTAATTTAACTCCTCATGAGGATTAAACTTGAACTTCTTCATTTGTTCTATTTATGTTCATTGATAGAGCCTGGAAATATGGTAGCTGTAGGATGTAACCATTTTAGGGCTACTTTTCCATGTCTGATTACTTCCTTATAGTTGGGCACTCATTATCTAAGTCGGGGAAATGGTTGTCTGCTTTTATTTAGGATCTTAATCACCAAAAGGCAAGTGTTGTTGCTGATCACTAATTGCATCTTTGTAAATCTTCTATTCATTTCATAGTTGCCAGTTCATATTATCTTTAAACTAATGAAGACAAAAATAGTTAATTAAATGGGATATATACATATGCTTTGTTAATGGGATATTTATGTATGCTCTGTTATGTCTAATGTTGTTTTGAATTCTACAATTTCTGTTTGTACAAATGGAGCACTATGCTTTGCAAGCTCAAAGAAGAGATATGAAACATAAAAGGAGAAATGTTGTGTGGTCAATTGCAATGGACAAGTGTCTAACTGAAACCCTAGCCATTCAAGCAAAAAATGGGAACAAAATTGAAAAATGTTTCAATGAAAATGCATATATTGCTGCTTGTGTGGCTATGAACACCCGTTTCAACTTAAATTTGAATAATCAGCAAGTGATCAATTGTCTGAAGACAATTAAGAAGGGGTATAAAGTAATGAAAGATATGCTCAGTCAAGATGGTTTTTGGTGGAATCCAAATACAAAAATGATAGAGTGTGATAGTGATGAGATCTGGAAGAGATACATTGCAGTAAGTCTATCTTTCATCTTTCTCACTCCTAGTATGTTTATTAATTTACATACAATACATAGTCCATTCTTAGTTAATCATTTATAGGCATACCCTGATGCAAGAGGATTCTATGGGAAGAACATAGAGATGTATGAGGAGTTTAAAATTGTATGTGGAAACTACCAAGCCCCCAGTCGTTGGGCTAAGAGAAAGGATGAAAAGCATGTAATGGACATAAAGACTTGTGATGATGAATCAGCCTTCTTTGTGTCTTGGACATCAGAAGACATGAGCGAGATAGATAGAACGTAACTGAGTCATACACTGGGCCTTCAGAGCATGACCAGGTGCCTGATGGTTTTGAAGAGCCTCCTTTAGTTGAGCCTCTTTGACATCTTCTCCATCGGCCTCATAGCTCCGACGCTCTTCAGGATGCATTGATGGCTGTAGCTTCAAGTATTAGACACTTGGTTGATTCAGCGAAGCAAAAAAAAAAAAGCTCAATTGATGCCAATAAGCTGTTGCGGGCTGTGATGGAAATCGACAGATTAGAAGAGGGGAGATAAATGTATGCTTTTGAATATTTGAATATAGATCCTATCAAAGCTAGGGCCTTTATGACATACAATCCATAGATGAGAAAGATATACCTATTTAGACAGTTTTGGTGGTGGAGGTGAATGCGACTAGTGCTTAGTGTTTTTTGCTGTATAGAATGGAATATTTTGGACTGTCTGATACATATTTTTAACTTTTTGGCCATTGTTTGACCAATCTTTCACCGATATCCTGTTAGGAGTATGTATAGATTCTAGGAATTGATTGTAATGAATTAATGGCAGTTTGCAGGGGACACTAGTATTTTTTTAACCTTTTTTGGGGATGACATGTAAAGTTTGAACATACCTATTGCTATCCATACTTCACAATATAAGATTGGACAGCAGCTTGGACCCTGCGCATGGCATTTACTGGGTGACATTCTATTTTGTGCATTGAGCAGGAAAAAAATAGTTCAAAAGATATAGCACAATTTTTTAGTGAGAAAATTGCAAACTAGATAGTAATTGGGAAAGAAGAATAGTTTATTTATGGGAGAATTACAGTGAGGTCTCAAGCAAGGAAAACAATTAAAAAACAAGTCCCAGAGATTGTCATTCTCACTATAGGATTTGTTATTATAGACTGTTGAGGTTGTTATTGGGACCTTTCAGTAATTATTTTTCTTCTGTGGGACTTGATTGTAATTCCCCCTTAATTTATTTATTTAATTTTCTTGCATGTAGCTGGTTGCTTAATAATAAATTATAATTTTTTTTCAATTTAATTTCTTTTATGCTTCTTTTGCAATTAACAATTGTGAATTGATTAGAATTTTAAATGTCAAATACTTAAAGTTATATGCATACTTTAAGGTGTCAATATCTACCGTTGTACGTCTCTTCCCAACTTGAGCCTCTCACTTCCTTTGATGTATGTATATGTTAGGATGATTTGGTCTTCTTTACCTTAGCTATTTCACTTTGGATGTGTTTATATTGTGATGTTTTTATTGTTTAATACTACATCCAATCTTCAACATAGTTTGAGATTTAATTTGATTATAAATATAAGATTCTAATTTAATATCTCTCATATTTATTCATTTTTTCTCAAAGTAGTCCTTATAGTAGTTGCACATGTTAACGATTTTATCAAATTATAGTTTTAACTAATACACTTAATTAGCAAGGGTATTTTAAGGAAGACAATGTATTTATTACAAATAATTAACTTAACTATTTTTCTTAAGGGTTAATACAAATTTTAGTCCCTCAAATTTGATCCCAATTTGGTATTGGTCCCTGAAATTTAAAACGTGTGGTATTGGTCCCTGAAATTATGTCCGTTTCAGACCGTTGGTCCCTGGCATCTTCGCACCGTTAAATTTTGCTGACGTGGCGTTAACACCGTTAAACTGATGAGTTGGCATATGACCTGGACATGATATTGGTCCCTCAAATTTGGGGCCATTTTGGTTTTGGTCCCTGAAATTTAAAACTGATGGTATTGGTCCCTCAAATTATATCTGTTTCTGGCCTTTGGTCCCTGATAGCTTTAGGCCCTTCTCTTTTTATCTGTTCCTGTAGAACCCTCTGCTTTGCTGTTATCTGGTCTCAGCGGCTCTGGCGGCTTGCTGGTTGTGCCTGCCTTTTTGTTGGAGTTGCCAGTGAGGTTCTTGTTGCTTCTACTCAAACTTCTTACTCTAGTAATGTGCTTCTCTTTTTTCTTGGGAGGTTCATCATCGTCTGTACTAGAAGAAGACGGTTTCAATGGGAGTGGTTTTGTATCTGAAGCCGGCTTCTTCTTCTCATGAACTGTTAAGTCACCTTTTTGGCCAAAGGTAGCAGAGGAGGTAGAAGGTTTAGCTGAGAATGCACTGCATTTCCTCCACACTAATATAGGAGCAGAAGCTCTGTGTTTTGACAAAAGTGAATCCCAGATTGCATAAATTCTCTTCGACCATAACCTTTCATTGCTCATGCCACATCATCAAGTTTTAGTTGCCAAGTCAAATGCAGTATCATAGGTTAACAAAGAGCCAACTCAGACAAATTTGACGGCGTAAAGCTATCAAGAACCAACAGCTAGAAACAGATATAATTTGAGGGACCAATACCATCTATTTTAAATTTCAGGGACCAATACCAAAATGGCCTCAAATTTGAGGGACCAATACCACGTCCAGGTCATATGCCACCTATATGCCAACTCATCAGTTTAACGGTGTTAACGCCACGTCAACAAAATTTAACGGTGCCAAGATGCCAGGGACCAACGGTCTAAAACGGAGATAATTTCAGGGACCAATACCACACGTTTTAAATTTCAGGGATCAATACCAAATTGGGTCCAAATTTGATGGACCAAAATTTGTATTAACCCTTTTCTTAAAGGTTAATATAAGCCCTAGTCCCTCAAGTTTACCCTCATTTTGGTTTTAATCTCTCAAATTCCAAACCATAAGTTTTAGTCTCTCAAGGGGCAAAATGGTCTAAGTTTTTATCCAATTATAGGGACTAATGTTTTAAATTAAAAAAAACTAAAGAAATCAAAACCTATAGTTTGAAACTTAAAAGACCAAAACCAAAATGAAAGTAAACTTGAATGACCAAAAATTGTATTAACCTTTTCTTAATCTACTCAAATTAGTCAACTAGCTCTTATACTACATCCGGTTCTTAATATAAGAGCTAGTTGAATAATTTAAGCAGATTAAGGAAGTTTGTTAAATTAGTTATTTGTAATAAATAGGTGTTGTCTTTTCTAAAATACTCTTATTAATCATGTGTATTAACTAAAAATATAATTTGATGAAATTTTTAATATATGCAACTACTACAAGAATTAGGAGTATTTAACTTGTCCCGTCTTGACCATCCTGTTCTCATCCTGGTTAATTTGAGATGGGATGAGACAAAAAAAATTTTTGGGACGAGATGATTATAAGACGAGACAAAACATTAATCGGGACAAAATGTGATGCAGGACAGGATCGTCCCGTCCCCTTTTTAAAAATTACTTATTAATAATTATTAATAGATTATTCAATTCTTTTTTAAGAATAATTATTTTTTACAGTGATTTTCAGCTCTTAAACTATAATATTATCTCAATAAAATATCTTTACTCAATAAAATAATTTATAAAACCATTGTATAGTATTTCTTTTATGATAGTTTTTTTTTTCACAGTATTGTTTTTAGACTTTTTTTATATTATATAATTGGGACCTTTCGCATAATACTTTTTAAGTGTTTTATCTTCAGAAGCCCAATTAAAAACAAATATTACAACATAAAAAAAATATCTAGGCCCAAATTATATTGGTTTGTAAAAAAAAAAAATTGAAGTGAGACGTCAAATCTCATCCTGTCCCTGTTTATCAGGACAGGACCAGGATACGCCTATTCGGGTGCTGTCTCACCTCGTGAACAGGCCTAACAAGGACCACTTTGTAAAAAAATTGGTTAAACATAATAGACAAAGTGGACTAAAATCTTATATTTAGTGCCAAATTAAAAGTCAAACTAACCCTTATATTAAAAACCAGAAGTAATATTAAGGATTGGAGGTCCTATATATATATATATATTTTTGGTAAAAAGGTAGTATAATTTTTTTAGGTGAAACAAGAGTATCCTCAGGTCACATTGGACTTGAGACTGATCCCTTTCGGCTCTGGAGCAGTTAAGGAATAGCCCTCCTAACAAGTGTACATGAGCAGCTAAGGAATAGCCCTTCCAACAGAGGTAGTCTAATTTTAATACAACAGAAAATGCAAGAATTCTATGGATTATATGATTCGGAAATCTGATTCTAAAAAAGAATAGGATCATAGGGCTTGAACAGACTTGAACCGATCCCATTTCTCCAAGTTTGAGAGTGGGTGTATTGGGTTGCAGGTAGGTTAACCCACACTTCCTACTCGACAATATTTTAAATAAGATTGTTTCCAATAAAAAGATATATATGCGTAGCAAAAGAAATATGAAAGCCTTTAAACATTAAAACAAATATATGTATTATTCTCTCACTGATGTTCTTAATGATGATGAATATAATTTATTGTCTCGATCAATGTTTAATATGTTGAAACAATCTTTGGCAAAAAAAAATGTTTAAACAACCGCGCTGGCTGAAAAAAATTGTTTAAACAAACGTAAATGATTTGTTGAAAGGAAAAAAAAGGTAAATGATTTAAGTTTATTGGAACAAGCACATTATGATGTGGGGCATTTTATCTCTTTACAATTTTAAAAATTTATCTATGACTTAAATTTTTGTCCAATTTTTTCACCTTCCTCCTTTATAGTTAGGGTATTGATCAAATGAAAATACTTAAGTCAATTTCATTATATCCTCATATCAAGTTTTTTAAATAACAAATGGCCATATCTTATATATTTTTCATATAATTTTATAATTAAATAATAATATTTTAAAAATAGGACACATGACTATATGCTATTAGAGAACTTGATATAATGAATATAAAAAATTTGATGTAAGTATTATCCTAATCAAATTAGATGCCAAAATATTTTTCTAGAATCTTTCTAAATAAAATAAATTCTACTAAAAAAATATACATATCTAATATAAAATTAGTGGGATAATTAATTATTAAAATTTCCATATATGTTAGAGAAAAATATGCATTTAAGAGAAAATAAATTAATAAAAGTATGTTCTTTATTGATCATCAACAAAAATCAAGGTTAGAGTTTGCTTAATGTAAACTTATTTCTACGAATTTTGATTTAGATGATAAAGGGCACCACAAAAACAAAATTGTCCAATATTGTTTTGACTCAGGTAGTTAGTGACTCTTCCTTCGTAACTCGTAAGTAAATTACAGATTATTACTTCATTCACAAATAAAATAAACTACATAAGGAATATAATGTCATAATTTTAGTATTAGCATGTTTCTTTCTGATTTTTCACTTTGTCATGAGTTGCTGTTTCATAGGCAAAAGATACTACACTTTAGAAGCTCAAATGATCATATAATTATATACTACCTCCTGTCCTAATTATAAATCCTCATTTATAGTCTACAAAAGATGTTTTATAATTAGGACTTGAGGTGGTATTTTTGAGTATGAAATCGTAACATACATTATATTAGCAAGTT